CTCCTTTTTACTATGCCCATTGAGTCGTCTTCCCTCTAACCCGAACACCTATGCAAAGGATTAAAAGTAGGCTGTACAGTGCTCTGCCCACTTATAATGGAGACGGCAGGGGCCGATGATGTGGAGGGAAACCGATGTCGATTTAGCTGATACCAACGTTTGCTTTAGAAACTAGCTTCTGCATTCCGATATCCCTGTAGATACAAATCCGTTGCGCCCTTCGAGATGTGTCCGAAGCAACAATATCTCTCATTCTAACCATTCCTCATCCAGATTCCAGCCAAAGCTTGCCTCTTAAGTATCATTTCGTCATTCCTCTTTGTTGGTCCACGCAGTCTTCATAAGCTTAAAAACCAGCCGGATGGCAGCAGCTGTCCAGTCTATATGTCAGAAGTAGACTTTTCAGTTGCCCGTGTCTTTGTCTGTGATACCTTCCGATGATTTGTGAACAACAAACGCGGGATTTCTCTGCTCATCGAATGTTTAGTAGTGCGACGCGTATTGACCAAGGAACCCGGCTTCAGATGTTAGCTGCTGCCAAAATGGAGTTGGGGCATGGCTAGCTGACGATGACCTTTAAGACCAAAATGGTCATCCCGATTTCCCCTGTCGTTGTGAATATCCAATTCTCTGCGTAATTAGCTGCCTATGGGGACCACAGAATGAGTTCCAATGGCGATGAGAGGACTATGTCCCGTAATGTGATCGATAAATGCCCTTTCAGAACATGGTACTTGTGTTATTGTAAGCAAACCAAAACATAGAAACCAGTAGTTAGTCTTCTATGATGCTGGAGATCCGTAAAATTTCTGTAGCGTTGTGGCCCATTAGGATTTTGTCCTTATATAAGTTATGAGGGGTCCGTAGAGGTCCAACCCTTTTGAACATAACTTTCAGAAAACTACTTGCGCTAGGAATTTATGTAAACACCCTTCCATCGGATTTTGCACATTTCGTATGTATGCAGTAAATTCGCGAAAATGTCAACTCCGTACAGACTTTGACCATAATAGGCTTGTGTCTTTGTTTACGTAAGCACACTTTGTTAATAATACGTACTTATCGGTCGCTTTGGAATCCGCACAGAAGGGTTCGCCCTGTTTCAAATTAGGTGTTTACGCTGAATTCGGGTGTACCTTTGATCATTTACCTTACCAGCCTTCCGATTGACTGCAGTGTATTATTTATGTATAGGAGCCATGTAGACGCGATGGTGCCTTGGCTGGAATTAGTTCTGCACCCATTCTGCTAGCTGTCTTCTTAGGTCAGAGTCACGAGTTTGGCTCATTTAGCTCCCCCCCC